GAAAAATACTCACCCGAAAAAATATATAATTTTACCTTATATATTTAGAAATAATTACAATAATACCCATCTATTTATAATTTTTTTCAATTAAGTCACTGTTTTTATTGAATAAAAATATTTTTTTATTATTTTAGGTCGGATCGGGTTTCTAAGTCATATATCCGGGTCGGTCGGGTCGGTGAAACCTTATTTTGGTCAGGTCGGGTCTCGGGTGGAGGCTCACTTGTCCTCGAGTCGGGTCGGGTGGACCAAAAACCCGACTCAACCCGACCCATGTCCATCCCGAGGCGAAGGTGACCCTCCCAACCCAATTTGCTCCATTTACAAACGCCAAAATTTAAACCCTAACTTTACTTAAGGAACTTAGTGTAACCAACTGAGAGTTAATCATAACCCAAATACATAATTATAACCTATCATTCATATAAATTCCTTCTATATTTAATTTTCAGTTCAAGTCCAAAGACGCAACTACCAACCGAAACTATGCAGTTTTCGTTATTTCGTTACTATTTCCGCCTCTTCTTGTTCCTTTTCCTCTGCTTTTCCCCCACGTGCTTGTTTTCCCGCCAGAATCACACCGGAGAAAATAACTGTCACAACTACCGTCGACACACAGACACACAAGGCCATGTGGTTTAACTTCACTCGCTTTAAAGACGCCGACAGCGGTAGCCACGTCATTGCCGGCATGTCGGAACTCAAGAAATACTTCCAACGTTTCGGGTCCCTCTCGGTCCGAAACCAAAATTTCACTGACGTTTACGACACCCAATTTGAATCCTCCGTTATCTTGTACCAGAAAAAGCTCGGATTACCGGTCACCGGGAAGCTTGATTCCGACACGATATCGAAGATCATATCGCCGAGGTGCGGCGTCTCCGATTCCGCCCCCACGAAGATCCATGCAACGAAACACTTCACCTATTTTGATGGACGGCCGAGATAGAACAACGATTCGGCTTCGACGACGCCCATGACGTTAACATACGCCTTCTCCCTTCGAACATGATAAACTACATAACCTTACAGGAAATCCGAACAGTTTTCCAACGTTCGTTTTCGAGATGGGCTTCGGTGATTCCCATAAATTTCAAGGAAATACAAGAATACGAAAAAGCCGATATAACAATAGGGTTTTTCGGCAGCGACCACGGCGACGGAGAAGCATTTGACGGGGCTTTAGGAGTGTTAGCTCATGCGTTTGCGCCTGAGAACGGAAGGATTCACTTCGATGAAGTTGAAACGTGGGCCGTAGATTTTGGGAAAGCGAAATCAAAGTCGGCTGTTGACTTGGAGTCGGTTGCGACGCACGAGATTGGTCATATTCTAGGATTGGGTCATAGTTTGGTTCAAGACGCCGTCATGTACCCGAGCTTGAGTCCTCGGAGTCGAAGAAGGGAACTGAAAGTTGATGATGTAAAAGGTGTTCAAGCTTTGTATGGAACAAACCCTAACTTCGAGATCAGCTCTTTGTTAGAATCGGATAACGTTTCCAACAAAGGAACTGGACTCGTCTCTACATCATCAAACTGGATTTTTTCTTGGGTACTGCTACTCTTCTTCATTCTTTTGGTCATAGTTTAGGCGCTTTTTTTAGGGTTATTTATGGGTGAAGAAATAAAAATGTTCACACCCAAACCAATTTTTTTAAACTATTCTTCGGCCCTTTAAGAAAATAAGTCTATAATTTTACTAATCCTATGTATCTGTGGAGTTATCTCAAAGTTACTTTTCTTTATATCTGTCCTATTTTATTTAATACAGTTTCATCAATAAAATTATGTCATATGATTCCTTTGACAATAAAAATATCATTGGTTTTAATAAAAAAAGTAAATTACATGTTATTTCTTTCATAATTATTTTTGTTTAGTCTAATCCTTGAAGTTTTTATGTAATCTTAAATTGGCCTTCATTTATTTTAAAATTTTATAATTTAATCTAATGTTAATTTTTATAATATTGTTTTAAATGTAATTGATCATTATTTGTTCAATCTAATTTTATTATGTTCAAACACGATATTTTTTTATAATTTAATCTAAATGTTTTAAAATTTTAAAATTTTATAATTTAATCTAATGTTATTATGTTCAAACACGATATTTTTTATAATTTAATCTAAATGTTTTAAAATTTTAAAATTTTATAATTTAATCTAATGTTATTATGTTCAAAAACGATATTTTTTATATTGAGAATCATAGTAATCTCAAGTCCTAAGATCTAATAACACATCTATTAGAATTTAATATTTTTATCCATATATTAATCTTAAAACAGATCGACCCAATTTTTTTCAACAAATACAAGCAAATTCAATTTGTATTCCGATACATATTGAATTTATAAATATACATTAAACTTCTTAATTTATTGTGATTTATAAAATAATAATCAATTAAAAACATCTAAAATAATCACCAACCACACAGCCTTTTCTGACTAAAAGTCAGCTATTTGACAATGCTTTTGAGCTTATGTGCTTTTGGGAAGTTCAAAGTATTATTTGGAAATGATTTTGGAAGTGCTTTTCATCTAAAAATCCGTTTTAAATGTAAAAGTAATCCTAAATAGTCAACTAAAAATTCATGTTTGAAAAATGATTATTTATTCAAATCAAAAAGTAAAAATAAAAATGGCGTTTTTGCGATGAAAAAGCTTGTTGAAGAATCACTTCTCATAAACATCCTCAAACGAAGCAATGCAGTGAGTTGTTTTATCACTCGACATTTTCCATTTCAATCCAACTACAAGCAGTTTCTTTTATTACTCTTTGATCTCTCATGAGCTTTCGCATTGCACACATCTCCCCCCATTTGCGATGGTATGCAAAAATGTTAGACATCATCACATAAACATAATCATTGTAACCCTCCAATTCAATCAACTTCGCTGCAGCAACCATTGCCACCTTCAGATCCTTACAGGCTCCGCAAGCACCGAGCAAAGCCTTCCAAACCGCACCACATGACCCAAAACAGAGTTCATAAATCACCCTCCATGCTCTCCGCGTCTCTCCTCCACGGCCCATTAGCCGAATCAAACAACAACAATGCTCGACGGTGGGCTTAATCCCATAATCATTGATCATCGACTCGAAGTACCGATACACCTGTTGAAGTGGCATCTCATTGTGAGAACACCCGGCGAACACATTAAGAAACGTGACCCAGTCAGGTTCCAAATCACTCTCAGTTTTTAGCTGCTCGAAAAGCTGGATCACTTTCGTCGAATCACCGTTGTGAGCATAACCGGAGATCATAGCATTCCAGGTCACCAAATTCTTTCTCGGTAACGACTGGAACATAGACTCGGCGTTCTTAGCGTGCCCGCATTTGGAGTACATGTCAATGAGAGCACTTCCCACAACAACAGATGTATCCAAACCACGCTTTATTGTGCAACAATGGGTTAACATTCCCCATGTTAAAGCTGAGAGACCTGCAATTCCGCTTAGAATTATTGAAAATGAGAACTCGTCCATTTGAACATCATTGGAGTGCATTTTATTGAAAAACTGGAGAGCCTCCCGTGGTCGATTTCGATTAACATATCCGGTCAGAATTGAAGACCATGTAGATGAATTTGGGCTCGGCGTATCGAGTAAAATACCGATAGCATCATCTATGTTGCCAAACTGAGCAATGCCACTAATCAATTCATTGTAAGATATAGTATCATGGACCGGCATTTCACTCCATACACTAAAGGCTTGCTCAAGGTTTCCATTTCTAACAGGCAGCTAAAACTGAATTCCACGAAATAATATCCTTCTCAATCATACTATCAAAAACCAAAATGGCGTTGACCACAGCCCCGCATTTTCCATACGTATCAATCAAGCAATTCCCAACAACAATTGCACATTCAAAGCCGAACTTCAAAATGTTGGAGTGAATCGACTTACCTAAATGCAAAAACCCCAGCTGGCCACAAGCAGCCAAAGCTGCAGTAAATGAGTACTCATTGCAACAAATTTCGGACCTATGAAGCTCAAGAAACAAACCCAAAGCTTTACGGAACTTCCCAGTTTGAACATGCCCAGAAATTATAGAGTTCCAAGAAATGACACTCGGTTGAGGCATTTCAACAAACAGCTTAGCGGCTTCACATAGAGAGTCGATTTGCCTATAATACCTCATCAAAGCGTTAGAAACAAACGCATTGGCGACAAACCCAGATTTTAAAACGTAGCAATGAAGCTGTAGGCAGTAAGAGTCATGACCCAGATCAGTCGAGACCCGAATCAAGTGAGCTAGGGAGTAGTCATTTGGTATAATGCCAGAGTGGAGCATCTTGGAAGCCTCGTGTAACGTAAGGTCCATGTCGGCGCCTCCTTTTGCGAGTGTTGAAACGAGAGTGAGCCATGATTCAAAGCTTTCTTTTGGAACTTTGTTGTTGCCATTGTTGCTTCGAGAAACGACATTTGTGCTGATAAAGTGATTTGATAAGAGATTATATGATTGCCGCTGTTGTTTAAGCTGGTATTGGTAGTTATCGACTCTCCCCAAGAATGTTCTTCGCATAGCTTTTAATTTATGGCTCGGAAATATTAAGAATCTTTTCGATGCTCTAAACCATTTGAATATACCAAACTAATAGAAACAAAGCAACAAAGAAAAGCACTTTATGATGAAGATATTTTCATACTGTTTCTGATTTAAAGAACCTCAAGCAAATGCGCTGTAATACACTCAAGCCTATGTTTTGAGTTGAGGGATTTACTAGTACAATGCTCCTCATGCTGTGATAAAACAGGAATTTAAATTATGAGTGTTAAAAAAAGCACGAATTAAGGAGAGAATTTATTTGCTGTGCCAACTACATTAAACCAATTTCGTCCGGACAAAATGGAGCTGGTCGAGACTATGCAGGCGCAAAATCGCATTATCACCAAGAGTTTTCAATCAGGAAGTCGGGAACCTCGATTGCAGCTCTTTGTGAACTTGTATTTTCTTTCTACATGGTTAATGTTGCAGCAAGGCAGCTTTTCATCCCCATTTGATAACAGCAGACCCCCAAGTTAGACCTGCACCAAAACCTGAAGCCACGATCGTGTGGCCTGGCTTCACCTTTCCACTTCGAACAGCTTCGTCCAATGCCAAAGGAATGGATGCAGCACTTGTATTGCCGTAATTTGCCAAATCAATGAAAGATATTATCCAGAGTACTATCCTCAGCTATCAAATATGTGAATTAGTAGGCCGTAGTTGATCGAAACTCCGATCACCATTGCTTTCCCCGTCACTTTTCATGGGCATAGTCAACATTTAATATCTTTCCCCAACTGTAACGAAGGACAAATCTGGGCACCAGTAATATGGGAGTGTTCAGGGACCCGGTTAGGGCAGCAGGCCAAGTAAATGGCACGACACATTTTCATGAAACTAAAATGTATACCATCTTTGTACATCTTTGTACTTCTTTACCATTCATCTGTATGCAGGCATAAGAGGACCTTTTTGGAGGAAATTCTAACGCCGAACCATTAGAACCCAACAGATCATTGATTTCGTTGTCATTTATGAGGGCACCGAGATGTCTGAAACAGGAGTGTAGCAGCTCGGTCAAATTGCTCAGAAGAAGCAATATGATTAAAAAAAAAAGAATCCGCAACAAGAGAAGCACATACCTTGCACCCTCACAATCACTATGCAAATCAAAGCTTAATAAACTATCCTCCTCAGCATCACAGGCCTGCAGAATTATTTGTATCTCGAATGATATCATATTTCATAGCAGAAGAGAAGTATGTAAATGGTAACTATTGCTTCGGAAGAAACCATTAGACCGAAATCCATAAAACTAAATAAATAAGCTAACTTGAGAAAGAGTGAACTGATAAAAACTCGACATTGCCTCAAATGGAAAAGAGTGAACTTATAAAAAGGTGGTATCAGTGTGTTACCTGAACAACAACAGCACCACCAGCATCCCCAAAGAGAATGCATGTTCCTCTATCGATCCAGTCAACAAATCGAGAAATAACATCAGCTCTGTTGACGAAAACGGGTAAAGAAAACGAAAGAACACGAGAATTTTACGAGGTTCGGCAATGTGCTTACGTCCTCGGTGCCTAGGCGGCGCTAGAAGTTTTATTCAATGATTTTTTTAGGTCTAGGTTACATCTCTATTTATAATAGAAAACCCTGGTACATAATTACAAAATCAACCATGTATCGTACCGCGGGGGCTACGCCCCGCGCCCCCAACCCACATAATTTGTAACCCCACAACGAGACTTTCTTTGTAAGGACAGTTGATGTTCGCTTCGCTCACTCCGCTCCATCTCCTGTCCTCTTTACTGGTATATTTATGAGCCATACCTAACAAATCTCCACCTTGGCGAATATCCTGCCCCTTGGAAACTTCAATGTGGGTTGGGTTACCTTGCTTCTTTAACAACTCGAAACATTTAACAAGTCCAAGCAATGCTTGAACTTGTCTGTCGTAACTGGCTTGGTGAACATATCAGCGGCATTCTCATCAGTATGTACCTTCTGAAACAAAACCTCTCCAGATGCAACCAACTCTCTGATCTTGTGGAACCTTACATCAATATGTTTAGTTCTAGCACGATACACCTGATTCTTAGCCAAGTGAATAGCACTTTGATTATCACAAAGCAACTGAACTCCACCTTGTTGAACACCCAACTCCTTCACTAAACCAGTAAGCCATAAAGCTTCTTTTGCAGCTTCAGCCGTTGCCATGTACTCAGCTTCAGTTGTAGATAGAGCCACAATAGATTGAACAGTAGACTTCCAACAAATAGGCCCTCCACCAAGAGTAAACACATACCCTGTCGTAGATCTTCTATTATCCAAGTCACCTGCATAATCTGAATCCACATATCCTACAACCAAAGGATTATCCCGCTGACTCCCAAAAACAATTCCATGTCCCACAGTACCCTTTAAGTACCGAAAGATTCACTTGACTGCATCCCAATGTTGCTTACCAGGTTTAGACATGTACTTACAAACTTGACTAACAGCATGAGCTAAATCAGGACGAGTACATACCATCGCATACATCAAGCAGCCAACAGCATTAGAATACGGAACCTTTGCCATATTTTCAGCTTCCTTATCTGTCTTAGGGCACTGTTCTGATGAGAGCTTAAAGTGATTCGCCAATGGAGTGCTAACTGGTTTCGCGCTGCTCATCGCAAACCTTTCTAGCATTTTCTCAACATAACCCCGTTGAGATAGCCACAGTTTCCTTGAGTCTCTGTCCCTGCAAATTTCCATTCCAAGAATTTTCTTTGCAGCACCTAAATCTTTCATATCAAATTCCTGACTCAATAAAGTTTTCAAACCGATAACATCATCCATGTTCTTCGCAGCAATCAACATATCATCAACATACAGTAATAGAAAAATAAAAGAACCATCATCAAGGCTCTTAACATAGACACAACAATCATACTCACATCGGTTGTAGCCAATCTTGATCATATAGGAGTCAAACCGTTTATACCACTGTCTCGGAGACTGTTTCAACCCGTACAAAGATTTCTTCAATCTGCAAACTAAATGCTCATTTCCAGGTTGAGTGAAACCTTCAGGTTGCCGCATGTAGATCTGCTCCTCTAAATCACCATGCAAAAAGCAGTTTTAACATCCATCTGCTCTAAATGCAAATCCCAACTAGCCACCAATGCAAGTACTGCTCGGATTGAAGTGTGCCTGACCACAGGAGAAAAGATTTCATCATAATCAACTCCTTTCTGCTGTGAAAAACCCTTCGCTACCAAACGAGCCTTGAACTTCTCCCCCTCTTTTTCTGTTACTGCTGGTTTCTTCTTATACACCCATTTGCAACCAATCGGCTTCTTATCCTCAGGAAGGGGAACTAACTCCCATGTGCGATTGTGATTCAAAGACTCCATCTCCTCAACTATGGCTGCCATCCACTTGTCGTTTTCCTGACTAGTAACGGCATCATGAAAAGTAACTGGATCATCACTGCTAACAGTAAGTGCAAAAGATACCAAGTCTTCAAAACCCAATCTGTTCGGAGGCTTTATATTCGTCCGTCTCACCCTGTCTCTGGCGTGACTATAATCCTGCAAATCATCCGTAGTGGAACCACCAGAAGTCGGTTGAGAAGTTTTTGGTTTCTCAACTGGAAACTGCTCGAAATCTACCACTGTCGTGTCTTGCTTCTGCTGCAACATAGACTGTTCATCAAAAACGACATCTCTACTAATCACAACTTTCTTCGCAACTGGATCCCAGAACTTGAATCCTTGACACCTTTCTTGTAACCCAGAAAAATGCACTCCTTCGATTTTGCATCAAGTTTGGATCTCTCATCAGCAGGTACATGCACATAAGCAGGACAACCAAAAATCCGTAAGTTATCAAAACTAACATCATGACCAGTCCATACCTCTTCTGTAACTTTCCCAGCCAGCGATGCCCTTGGCGATCTGTTGATAAGGTAACACGCCATGTTAACAGCCTCAGCCCAGAAGTGTTTGGGAAGCCCCGCATTCAACCGCAAACATCTGGCTCTTTCATTCAACGACCTGTTCATTCGTTCCGCAACACCATTCTGTTGTGGTGTCTTGCGCACTGTAAAATGCCTCTGAATCCCATGCTCCTTACAGAATTGTAGGAACTGTGAATCTGTATACTCCGTACCATTGTCAGACCGCAAACACTTGATTTTTCGTCCTGTTTGGTTTTCTACCTCAGCTTTCCACAGCTTGAACTTCTCAAAAACTTCAGATTTCTGTTTCAAAAAATACACCCAAACTTTCCGTGAAAAATCATCAATAAAAGTAACATAGTACCTAGATCCACCCAAAGACGATGTCGTGGAAGGCCCCATACATCAGAATGCACATAATCAAGAATCCCTTGAGTTGTGTGCTTCGCAGTCTTGAAACGGACTTTAGTCTGTTTACCAAGAACACAATACTTGCAAAAATTGAGCTTACAGCTTTTGACACCATGCAACAAGTTTCTCTTGTGTAATTCTGCCATACCACGTTCACTAGATGAGCAAGGCGCATATGCCACAATTTTGTCGTATCATCACAGGACTCAACAGAGTGAACTCCACCTGCAACGGTACTCCCTAACAATCTGTAGATATTCCCTGCAGTCATCTTGCCTTTCATCACAGTCAATGCTTTAACAATCCGAATGGTTTCCCTATCCTCGTCAACCTTAGGGATAAAACCATTCTTGTGCAAAGTGCCCAAGGAAATCAAATTCTTCTTCAAGTCTGGGATATGTCGAACACCACTCAACGTCCGAACGGAGCCATCGTGCATCTTAATTCTGACATCACCAATACCAACAATATTGCAACATCGATCATCACCCAAATAAACCGAACCATAATTAACCGGCCTGTATGTCGAAAACCATTCCCTATTTGGTGTGATGTGATAAGAACATCCAGAATCAAGAATCCAAGCATCCGTCAATTGTGTCGTTGAAATAGAAAGCATATCACCCTCACTGCAATCAGAAGTATCATCCTCGACCACGTTCACAGACTTGGATGAGCCATCACGCTTCTCATCAGTCTACTTTTTCAACTTCGGACAGTCTCGCTTCATATGTCCCGCCTCCTTGCACTTGTAACAGTGAATCGTCTTCTTATCCCTGGATTTGGATCTGGAATTCCGCTTCCCGGACCCTGCCTTCTCTGGATTCCATCCACGATCTCGATTACCCTTGACATATAAGCTATCGGCTTGAGAGCTTTCCCCTGCAGTAATCTGCTTCCGCTGGTTGTGAGCCAACAAGGCTGCAGTAATCTCCTCAACGTTGATAGTCTCTTTCCCATATGTAAGAGTAGTCACCATGTGTTCGTAAGAGGAAGGCAACGAACACAACAGAATCATCGCTCTGTCTTCATCCTCAATTTTCACATCAAGCCGAGCCAGATCAGAAACGATTTGATTGAAGACATTCACGTGTTGCGCCAAATCGTGATCGTCCTGCATCTTCAGCCCATACAGCCGCTGCTTCAGATACAGTTTTGTCGTTAAGGATTTGGACATAAACTGACTTTCCAACTTCCTCCAAATTTCGTCTGGAGACGATAGATGCATGACGTGATACATGACCTCGTCCGCCAAGCATAATCGTATGGTTCCTGCCGCTCGCTGCTGCAATTCTTCCCAATCTTCCTCATCCATCGACGCCGGCTTTGTAGGTCGCAAAGCCTTCAAGATCCCTTGCTGCGCCAATAGATCCTTCACCCTCGTTTGCCATAATCCGAAGTTACCCTGACCATTGAATTTCGCGACTTCGAATTTTGCTCCTGACATCTGATACCAATTGTTGACGAAAACGGGTAAAGAAAACGAAAGAACACGAGAATTTTACGAGGTTCGGCAATGTGCTTACGTCCTCGGTGCCTAGGCGGCGCTAGAAGTTTTATTCAATGATTTTTTTAGGTCTAGGTTACATCTCTATTTATAATAGAAAACCCTGGTACATAATTACAAAATCAACCCTGTACCGTACCGCTTTACTGGTATATTTATGAGCCATACCTAACAAGCTCTAATTACTAAAACATTACGCAAGCCACCTCCTGTAATTCACAAAGGCAAAAGTTTTATTCCGTACCACATTAACAGCTTGGTTTAAGAATTCGATGCAAATTGAGCAAATTCATTACCCCTAATGTAGCAAGAAGCTGAGAACAGACCCAACATGAATCCACTGCATGCAGCAAATTCTTTGGACCTTACAACGTAAATTAAGGTTGCCAGAACACAAACAAATAAGTGATCTGTGAAACATAAACAATTACTGTCTAAATAAGCACATAGCAGTATCAAGACCCACATACAAAACTTAAGACAAATGAAGCTCATGGAAAATCAACAACTTCTTGAATTATTCTAAATCTGTAAAGCCAAACAATTGTCTAAACCAAACTCTGTTCGGAAAGTGGTATTTTCATTTATTTGAAGTTTATGCCTGCAGGTCTCAACGCTTGATAAAATCAACTACAACACTCATTAAATTCACTAGAACACCAGTTACTTCCCTCCCAAAGAGAATGCGTAAACATAAAATCAAAATCTCCAGTCAAATTTCTATTTTTTCAACCATAATTCATGTACGTTACTAAATTTGTAACCTTCATGTAGTTTACAGCAAGAAATATACTTTCAAACTATATTAATATCAAAATGTCAAAAACACAGAAACCCATAATGAAACCCGAAAATGCATGTAAATGAACCAAAAGAAGTTTTGCGACCAATGTAGAATCTATTAATATCGACAAATTTCTCAAATACAGTGAAACAGAAAAGCTTGCAAGCACATACTCAAAGTTTCCTATAATAACAAAAACATAATGATCATTTATGGTAATCAAAACAAACAAGTTTGTGAAGATAATCCGAGACATCTCACTTTTAAATTCCCACTTTATATCAGAATATTTAGAAGCAGTCTTCTCTAAAATACATAGAATAGAAGCATGCAATAGTAGATTTTACTGATCTTCAAGAAACTAATCAAGATGCGCGAGGAGGAAAGGGGATTGTTTACTGCTTCTGTTAACTGGTTACATGTTAGAGGAGGCTGGATCTGGGAAAACATTCGAGAAAGGAAGGACAAAGTTGACTGGCATCGACTCATTTGGTTCCCTGCTCACGTTCGAAAGTTCTATCTGATTACGTGGATGATAATTCTTGACAGGCTGCCTACTAAGGATAGACTTGCTCGGTTTGGTATGGTGACTGCTGTGGATTATGTGGTACTGAGCTGGAATCAAGGAATCACCTTTTCTTGGATTGCTCTTATTCGAGGGTGGTCTGGGACGATATCATGCACTCATGTGGGCTGCAGCAGCAAGGGCTGAGTTGGGAAGACTTGATCTGTTGGATGAATAGGAATTTGAAAGGTAAGCCTTATTAGTTCATGTTCTTAAATTAGCATGGACTGGATTCGTTTACTTCATATAGGAAGAACGTAATCATAAAGTTTTTAGAGGACTGATACAGTTGGTAGAGCGCAAGGTTCTTAACCTTGAGGTCGTGGGATCGAGTCCCACGGTGAGCAATTCATAATTGCTGGAGGTCTTCCACGGAAGTTGTTCTCAACCTAGCGTTGGGAGCAGCCTACTACCTTATCTTTCTCTTACCCCATTTAATATGGGAATAAGGTCAACTATTTTTTATACAATTGTAAATACTATAAAGGGGGTTGTTAGGATCAAATTATATAGGTATAACATGAATAGACTGGATGATGTAAATAGGCAACTGTGCATAGATTAGGGGCTAATCTAGCTGGTTGTAACGTCTCTTGTAGCAGCTTGTTGCTTTCTTTGGATGAATACAATTTTGATTATCCAAAAAAAATAGTAGATTTTAGAAACCTACATGCAACTTATAACACAAATCATAAAAGTTGCTATGTTATTAAAGCTTCCTTAATAGATTCCTGGGATTAATATTGACCAGTTCCTCTATACCTTTGGAGCATCACCGAAAATATCTTCCGGAGTAGATATGCACATCAGGATCAGTTCAAGATCATCGGGTTCAACATCTGCCATTTCGCTTCAACCGTTAGGTTTCATAAACTTTCCTTTCTTGTAAGAGCAACGACAGTTCATTGTTATTCTTCCAAAAAGACACAAGGATGGCAATTAAAAGAGTAAAAAATGTAAGCTTTCATCTTTCGTGAAAAAAGAAAAATGTGCCACAAACTTTAAGCTAGGGGTTTTTATCACATCGATGGAAGTTTGATACAAGTAGGAAATGCCAGCAAAAGATTCTACAAATATTCTACAATTGCGCTTTTATGCATTAGACTATGTTCTGACCTGAAACAACCCGTCGATTACGTATTCCAGTGCAGAAAAATATCCATTCATCAGAAGTATCAACTATTTTTGCAAGATCGTCATTTGAAACTGAAAGAGATGGCACCGCTGATCCACAACCAACTAGCTTGCAGCCTTTACTGAAAAGCATGTATTTTCCGGTAATAAAATAGAAAGTAGGATGTACATCAGGAAAATCATCATCTTTCAAAGTTAAATAAGTAAAGGAAAAAAAACAAACAAATAAAAGTGAACCAGCATCTCAATTCTGAATGCCGGACTAGATTTCAAGCACACAATAAATACCAGTGACAGGTGATGCCCTTAAACTAGGTGTGTGCGCTAATGTGCTTAACTTGGTCAATGCCACCATTGGATCACCTGCGGTGCAACCATGTTGTTCCCTTCTCCAAGGCCTCGTCGACCTCAAAATCGCAGTTTGCCTTTGCACTGCTATCAGAGCTAACATACTAGGCATCAACCTTAACATCCCAATCTCCCTGAGCTTGCTTCTCAACTTTTGCTCAAGGAATGTTCTAAGAGGCTTCCAATGTTAAACCGACCTCTTTTCCTCGTCATCTTGTTTCTTATGGTTTCCATTATTTCAGTAAATCAGTGTCGACATTGGTAACTTTTTTGTTTTCATTTCCTGTGGAGATTGATGCTGAATAATGTTGGTCAAATAATAGCAACCGGTGGCTGCTTGAATTTTAAAAGTGGGGGCTGCCTTAAATTTCAAAGTTAGGCAGCCCATATTTTTTAATTTAAGCAAGGGTTAATTATTTTTAGTCATTAGATTTTAGGGTATTTTCAAAGATTAGTCCCTAAGTTTCAACTATAAATACCATAGCTCATTTAACTTCAATATCATCCCAAAATCAATTTCTTTCTCATAATACTAAAGAGTTTAGAGAGTTCTCTTGTGAGTAGTGAGTGTTTTGTAAACACTTGTAAATTTTCTCTCTTTAGTAAAAGATATGCAGTAGTCCGGAGACGTAGGCAAAATTGGCTGAACTCCGTTATCAATTTCGGGTATTATTTTTCCGCTTTTATTTTGCATTCTCACTAATCTGGTTATAGGGAAATTACTCGTACTCGGTTTATTTTCCCAACAACTGGTAATTAGAGCTTTTAGTTGTGAATTTTTTCAATTTTTTGTGATGTTACTATTCATTCCTATTCACGTGAATAGTGAATTTTGTGAATGGTAACAATTTTGTCGGCGATACGAGTTTATCGACGGAGGTGTTATAATACACGATGGTTCGCACAAATTGTCAGAAACGATCCAAAGAAGCCAGATTCGAGTGGGAGCGATGGCTGCAGACGAAGGGAAGGCGAAAATTGAAAAGTTCGATAGTGCGGACTTTGGATTTTGGAAGATGCAAATTGAAGAGTTTCTGTACCAGAAAAATCTATATCAACCCCTCTAAGGAAAACAACCAGAGGGCATGAAGAATGAAGACTGAGCTCTCTCGACAGACAAGCCTCGGAGTTATCCGATTGACGTTATCCGCAATGTGCTTTCAACATAGCAAAGGAAAAGACCACGGCATGTATGGCGGCTCTCTCCAATATGTATGAGAGCCATCGGCCTCAACAAGTTCATTTGATAAGGCGATTATTCAATTTGCGGATGGCGAAGAGCATCAGTGGCTCAACACCTAAATGAACTCAACACAATCACAACCTAGTTGAGTTCCGTGGAAATTGAATTCGATGATGAAGTTCGAGCTTTAATTCTCTTATCATCTATACCAGACAGTTGGAATGATATTGTTACAGCAATCAGCAGCTCGTCGGGAAACAGCAAATTAAAATTCGATGATGTTCGGGATCTGGTACTGAGCGAAGAAATTCGACGAAGAGAATCAGGTGAAGCATCAACCACCTCAGCCTTGCACACGGAGTCCAGAGGGAGAACTTCATAAAGAAATTCAAATCATGGCAGATCCAAGTCCAGAACGGGAAAATCAAGAACGGGAAAGAAAGATTTTACATGTTATAACTGCGGCAAGAAGGATCACTTTAAAAAAGATTGCCGAGCACCAAAGAAAAATATCGGCGCACAAGAATATGCCAACGTGATAGAGGAGACAGGTGATGCCATGATTCTAAGTGTTAACAGTCCGATTGAATCATGGATCTTGGATTCAGGGGCATCTTTCCACTCCACCCCATGCCGAGAAATCATGGAGTACTATGTCAGTGGTGATTTTGGGAAGGTTCATCTAGCTGATGATGAAACCTTGAAGATCGTCGGAAAAGGAGATATCCGACTAAAGTTGCCAAACCATACCACCTGGACGCTGAAAGGAGTGAGACATATTCCTGGCCTCAAAAGAAATCTAATTTCTGTAGGACATCTTGATGGAGAAGGATATAGCATAACTTTTTCAGGCTGTGAATGGAAGATTACCAAAGGAGCACTCGTCATTGCTCGTGGTAAGAAGACTGATACTCTCTATGTAACCTCAAATTTAGAGAATATCATTGCTGCAGCAGATGCTGATGGAAAATCAAACCTATGGCACCAAAGGCTTGGTCATATGAGCGAGAAAGGGATGAAGAGGATGCATCTTTGGCAAAAAGAAAGTCAGCTTTACAAAGATTGGTAAGACACCCAAGGCTAAAAAGTTAGAGTTGGTTCATACTGATGTATGGGGACCATCTCCAGTTCCATCTCTTGCAGGCTCATTATATTATGTCACCTTCATCGATGATTCTACAAGGAAGGTTGCATCTTTGGCAAATAAAGAAAGTCAGCTTACAAAGATTGGTAAGACACCAAGGCTAAAAGTTAGAGTTGGTTCATACTGATGTATGGGGACCATCTCCCAGTTCCATCTCTTGCAGGCTCATTATATTATGTCACCTTCATCGATGATTCTACAAGGAAGGTGTGGGTTATTTTCTGAAGAAGAAATCAGAAGTCTTTGATACCTACAGAAAATGGAAGGCCATGGTGGAAAATAAGACTGGTCTGAAAGTCAAGCGGTTGAGGTATGACAATGGAAGAGAGTACAGAAATAGGAGATTCAGAGATTTCTGTGCAAACAATGGGATCAAGATAGAGACAACAGTTCCCATGACACCACAGCAGAATGGCGTAGCAGAACGCATGAACATAACTCTGAATGAACGTGCCAGAAGCATGAGGATACATGTCGAACTACCCAAATTTCTATGGGCTGAAGCTATCAACACTGCAGCTTACCTGATCAACCGTGGGCCCTTAGTTCCTTTGGATGACAGAATACCAGAGGAAGTTTGGAGCAAGAAAGAAATAAACCTTTCACACTTAAGAGTGTTTGGTTGTATTTCTTATGTACACATAGAATCTACTGAAAGAAGTAAACTTTATGCTAAGTCCAACAAATGTGCCTTTGTTAGTTATGGTGGTGATGAGTTCGGTTACCAATTTTGGGACTACGAAAATCGAAAGATCATCAGAAGAAGAGATGTCATTTTCAATGAGAATGTGATGTACAAAGACAGACCAACTGTAGAATCAAGTAGCTCCAATACCGAAGCTGAAACAAAGGAATTTGCTGAGTTCGAGGAGATTTCTAGAAATGATGTTCAGATCAATCCTGAAGCATTTCAAGAAGAACCAGGCACACCAGAACTGAGACGCTCCTCTAGAATTCCTAAACCAACCCAACGGTATTCTCCTTCTTTGCACTACTTGTTGCTGACTAACAATGGTGAACCAGAGTGCTATGATGAAGCAATGCAAGTGGAGGATTCAGTCAAGTGGGAGTCTTCCATGAAAGATGAGATGGACTCGCTTATGTCAAATCAGACATGAGAATTAGCTGAATTACAACTAGGCAAAAAAGCGCTCCATAATAAGTGGATCTACAGGATTAAAGAAGAGCACGATGGGAGCAAACACTACAAAGCAAGATTGGTTGTTAAAGGCTTTCAGCAAAAAGAATGTATTGACTACAATGAAATTTTCTCTCCAGTCGTGAAGTTGTCTACAATCAGACTGGTGTTGAAAATTGTAGCTGCAGAGAATCTACATCTTGAGCAGTTAGATGTGAAGACGACTTTCCTTCATGGTGATTTGGAGAAAGAAATCTATATGAGGCAGCCAGAAGGCTTCATAGAGGCAGGCAAGAAAAACCTGGTATGCAGGTTGAAGAAGAGCTTGTATGGTTTAAAACAAGCTCCTAGACAGTGGTACAAGAAGTTCGATAGCTTCATGGGTAGCAGTGGTTTTACCAGATGCCAAGCATATCATTGTTGCTACATCAAGAGGTTCGACAATAGCTTTATTATTTTATTAATGTACGTTGATGACATGCTCGTTGCAGGCTCAGATATGCAAGAGATTATAAACTTGAAACAAAAATTGTCGAAGCAGTTTGCTATGAAGGATCTGGGCGCTGCAAAGCAGATTCTTGGGATAAGTATTAAGAGAGACACAAAGTCGGGGACTTTGATGTTATCACGGGCTGAGTACATCAACAAAGTATTCTCCAGGTTCAACATGCAAGATGCTAAACCAGTAAGTACACCTTTAGGTGTTCACTTCAGACTCTCCAAAGAACATTCACCAAAGACGGAGGAAGAACGTGCACACATGGTGAAGGTGCCGTATGCCTCAGTAATTAGAAGTCTGATGTATGCCATGGTTTGTACCAGACCAGATATTGCTCATGCAGTGGGAGCTGTTAGCAGGTACATGAATAATCCAGGCAAGGTACACTGGGAAGCTGTCAAATGGATCCTCAGATATCTGTGGGGTACTACAAACAAAGCACTTTGTTTCAAAGGTGGATATACAATACTGACAGGCTGTGTAGATACTAAATTAGCTGGAAATGTTGACATCAGAAAGAGCACTACAGGGTATGTCTATACTCTAGGAGGTACTGCAGTAAGTTGGGTTTCTCAACTACAAAAGATAGTTTCTCTCTCCACAACTGAAGCAGAATATGTCGCTGTTACGGAAGCCAGCAAGGAGATGGTTTGGATCCAAAGTTTCTTGGAAGAGTTAGGCAAGAAACAAGAAAACAATGTCTTGCATTGCGACAGTCAAAGTGTTATCCATCTAGCGAAGAATCCGTCTTTTCATTCCAGGACGAAGCACATACAATTGTGATATCATTTTATCCGGTCTCTTTTGGAAGATGGGATTTTGAAACTTGAAAAGATCAGTGGAGCTCAAAATCCAGCAGCCATGTTAACAAAGACGGTGACTACGGATAAACTGAAGTTGTGTTCAACTTCAGTTGGCATGCTAGAATAACAAGACTAGAAATGCTGTTGCATTGATCAAGGTGTGAAGACAGATTAAAATCAGTCTTCAAGTGGGAGATTGTTGGTCAAATAATAGCAGACGATGGCTGCTTGAATTTTAAAGGTGGGGGGCTGTCTTAAATTTCAAAGTTAGGCAGCTCATATTTTTGAATTTAAGAAATGATTAATTATTTTTAGTCATTAGACTTTAGGGTATTT